ATATTACACAGTCTTGAAAAGACTAAAAACTGTAAAAAGAGATTTTCTTTGTCTCAATTCTTTAACATTTTTTAAGCCCTAAAAAAATTAAATCCTAAAAAATGTGTTCCAGGAAGCTTCCCTAGTTAATCCTCTCCCAATAAGATTAAGAAGAGTTGATTTTAAAAAGTCGAAACTTTTTTTAAAAAAACATTTTATTAGGGGCTCATACAACTGTTATCGCAAAAGTCGAAACTTTTTAAGAAAGATAAAAAACACTTCTCCTAATAATGTTAGGAAATTTAAGAATATATTTATATAAAATTGTAGCTGTATAATTAAGGCAAAACTCTGAAATGTGACCCATTGTTAGCTAAATTCTAACTACGTGTGCATTTTATATACATGTTTTATTAATATAGACTTAATCTTAGAAAAGAAATCGCCATCTAAAACTTCCCTCTAATTTGCCTATCCAAGGGACTTCAAAAAGTTTAAAGAAAGTAGAATTGACAAATGGGATTTTCCCATTATCTTTCTGAAGCCCCCTCTTATACTTCTTAAACTTAGCAAACCAAAACTAGCTGCAGCAGTCACGTTTTAGAATTTGAATGCAAACATGTTTTAGCTGGATACTCCTGAGTCTAAATCAAAAAGACATTGAAACCACACTATTTGGGTAAGTCATATACTCACACAACCAGAGAGCTAATTCTTTAATTATGAATACGAGACCTAGGAGCTTTGGTAGTATAGTGGGTTATAAGTTGGGCCCTAACTGCAAATCTCCAGCCACTGTGCAGGAGAGAGAAGAGGCTTTCTACTCTCTTCAAGGTTAGTCTGGGAAAGCGACAGGGCTGCTCTACTCTGTCCTACAGGCTGGACTGGAGCCCGAATCAACTGGATGGCTGCGAGATTTTTGGACTTACTTGTAATTTTCAGAAACCTCAAGGAAATACTAAATATAAATTAGGAAAATATATTTTTCTTCCAAAATGAAATATATAGCATAGGAAAATGAAATTATATTGCTTACATTATACTTTTCTTATATTTGAATTTTTAGTATTTTTAGGAGAGGTATTAGTATAGACCTTGGCCATGAGATTACGTAGGAGGGCATTCCAGGCTAGAGGCTATACTGCCTGTGTGAGAAACTTCAGGTTGTTTTAATATGACGGAAACAGATGCACATGCATATGGCACATGAAGCTGAAAAGTTTGAAGCAGTTTTTGAATTATGCTAAGGCATTTGGATTTAAGCTTATGAGCTATGGGGGGAAAGAGAGAAGAACTTAAGGCTTAAGTGATCAGATCTGCATTTGAACACCACCACCCAGGCAGCAATGGAAAGGATCAATTAATGGAACAGAGAGCGCTAGTACCGCAGAGACCAGTTAGATATCAAGTCCAAGCAAGGGATGGTGAGAGCTTGAATTAAGACCACTGAAGAGAAAAGGGTAGTTAGTTAGTTAGTTAGTTAGTTAGTTAATTAGTTAGTTAGGGAATAGATACAAGATGTATTGATCTATTAGGTGGAAAGGTTAAAGGAGTCAGGGCCTCCTAAGTGACTGATAAGGAGAAATGTGAATGGATGGTGCTGTCCTCGAGAAAGAAAACAGAAGGAGGTGCTGCAGTATGCCAGTACCCTGTGGTGATGTGGTTATGCGTTGAGCTGCAATCCTCAAGGTCAGCAGTTCGAAACCATAAGCAGCTCCAAAGCTTTCTATTCCTGTAAGGAGTTATGGTCTGGAACACTCATGCGGGCAGTTCTAACCCGCCCTATGGGGTCTCTGAGCTGGCATCGACTCAAGTTTTGAGTGTGAGGTGAAATCCCAGGTCTACCACTCAGTGGTTCTAGGAATCCAAACCAGAAGCTGGACCTCAGCTCAGCAACAGTTCATTGTTTGTCTCCCCTCAGGGAGCTTCCTTTCTTTCTTTAGCCATCCTCACGCCTGCTGTTCTTCATCAAATCAGTCTTTCCAGGCCTGCTTCCTGCCTGCGACCCCTTCCAACTGTGTGTCTATTTCTTTCTCCTTCTTAGGGCCTTAGTTTGCTCTTCCTCCTGGTACCTTCCTTAACCCCCAAGTCTGAAGTACGTGTCTCTATTGGGGGTTCTCACAGTGTCCTACAGCGAGTAACCAACTGCTACCAAGCTGACACCAACTCGCCATGCCCCCGTGTGTGGCAGAACACAACTGTGCTCTGCGGGTGTTCACGGCTGGTTTTCCTGAAGGAGACTGACTGCCAGCCTTTCTTCCTAGACCCCAATCTCCAGCCCTTCCAACCAAGCATGTTACCCATTTGGGTCCCGCATGGACACAGCAGTCCACTGTTCCCGTGACCCCACTATACTACTTAAAATAGTGTAGGGGAGTAAGTAAAAAAAGCATTGTTACTACGGCTCCGGGTCTTGCACACATTATTTTTTTTTTCAAGCAAAGCATGTTTAAACATGTCTCCATGATCAGAGGGACAATTTCTCTCAGCAACATACTTCTCTTAGTCTCATTGGGGTACCTTCCCCCCAAAAGGGTCCAATCCAATTTAACTTATGCCATTAAATTTAAAGCAGAGAAGGTTTATGGCAACTGATTTC